CAGAGATAGATGGCTCAACAGTTAAAGAGCACTGACTGCCCTCGCAGAGGACCAGGGTTCTATTCCCAGCATCAACATGGCAGCTAACAACTGTCCCTGATTCCAGTTCTAGTCCTGACGCCCTCTTCTGTCCTCCTTGGGCACTGCAAGACATGGGTGCACTTACACACATGCAGGCAATACACTCATACACATAAAATAAATTGAAAAAAAGTACTATTTAATCCAGATTGACCTGGAATGAAAGATGCTCCTGCCTTAGCCTCTTAAGTGCTGGGAATTACAGGTATGTGCTACCATACTATACCTAGCTTATAATAGTCTTCTTCTTTCTTAAAAAAAAGACAGAGTCAGGGGCTGGAGAGATGGCTCAGCGGTTAAGAGCACTGACTGTTCTTGCAGAGGACGTGGGTTCAATTCCCAGCACCCAAACGGCGGCTATGAACTCCAGGGAAATCCAAAACGCTCTTCTGACCTCCATGGAATTGCACAACACGGGCACACTCAGATACATGCAGGCAATACACTCATATACATAAAATAAAAATAATAATAATAAAAAAAGACAGGGTCTCACTATACAGCACTAGTTGGCCTGGAACTCACTGTGCAGACCAGGCCAGTCTGATTAAAGGCATGCACCACCATGCCCAGCCTACATTTTAAAAATCAACAAAGAAATGAAGACGGAATGAGTAACCACCAGAGATCAAAACAAGTGGGAATGTATGGTAATAATTTGGACAACAGGAGCTCTCTGTATTCTTTTTCTTTCTTTTTTTAATTTAAATTTTTTTTTTATTATTTTATGTGTATGTGTGTGTGTATTGCCTGCATGTAGGTAAGTGCACCCGTGTTGTATAATGCCCATGGAGGTCAGAAGAGACTGTCAGATCCCCTGGACTGGAGTTACGAACAGTTGTTATCTGCCATGTGGGTGCTGGGATTCAAACCCAGGTCTTCTGCAAAAACAACCAGTGTTCTTAACCACTGAGCCATCACTCCAGGCCCTCTATTATTTAATTAAAATATTTTTTGGTTATTTATTTATTTATTTTTTGGTCTTTTTGAGACAGGGTCTCCTTGTAGCCCCAGCTGTCCTGAACTCACTATGTAGACCAGGCTGGCCTTGAACTCACAGAGATCTGCCTCTGCCTCCCAAGTGCTTGGATTAAAGGCATATGCCACCATGCCTGGCTTGGTTATTATTATTACATGTGAGAGAGTGCACGTATGTGTCATAGGAAGATAGCTTTCAGAAGCTGGTTCTCTCTTTCCACAATGGGTTCCAGGAATTGAACTCAGGTCATCAGGTTTGTGCTCATACCTACTGAGTCATCTCACTACCCATATTTCTTACAACTGAGTATATATTTATTTCAAAGTAAGTATAATTACAGCTGATACAGTTCCATTGTAGAGTACTTGCATAACATATATATGGGTTTAATCTCTAGCACTGCACAAATAACAAACAGACAAAATAATGAAAAAGAAAGGGGGGCTGGGGATAAAGTACAGTGATGGAACATTTACCCAGCATGCATGAAGTCCTAGGTTCAAATCTAGGCACTATAAACACACACACAAGTTTTTAAAAAGTCAATTCCGGGCAACATGCTAAGTATGAAAGTCATTATCAAAAATTACCAGTTCTTGCTGTGCATGATAGTGCATGCCTTTAATCCCAGCACTCAGGAGGCAGAGATTTCTGTGAGTTCTAGGCCAGTTGGGGCTACAGGAAGACACTGTCTTAAAAATACTGGGGGGGGGGGGAACC